GCCTTAGAAGTTGTATTTTTCATGTGTGTTAATATGCAGTATTTATACATTGTGAGAAGCTGCTTTGAATAAAAACATTGAAACTTCATTTCAATGCAGTGATTTTCAGTTTTACATAATCAGAATGGATGTGGTGAGTGGTGGCCATTCTAGATGATAATGCTGTTCATGGGCTGTGCCTTTTCCAAGAGAGCAGGAACAGTGGGCTTTTTAAAAGACAATTATTTTTCCAAAGGACAAAACCCCTAAAAGACACTGCAGTAAGAACTGTCTGAAGTCAATCATGGTCCATCTCATTTATCATTTCTTGATCCAAATCCAAGAAAGCTTTGATCATATCCAAGAAGACCAGCCAGAAGTGCCTTATAAATGCACTTCTAGGACACCTTCCCCATTCTCACTTCCACTGCTGGACATGTGCACATCACCTAAAGCACATCTGCCCACAACCAGCTGCTGAGGGCAGGATTTTGGCTCCACAGGAGGGAATTTGCTATTGAAGAGATATTTGCCAAGGGAGGCCAAGAAGCAGGGTGAAGGTGGATCACCCTCTGGCCCCTGTGCAGGGACACAGATGGGATTCCTGCCATGGGCCTCGTGTGTCCCAGGGGATCCTTTGGCTGTAGCATCTGGGAACGCTGTTTCCAACCACATATCTCCCATGATTAGAAGGGTAACTGTCAATGGTTTCTGCCTGGGGCAGAAAAGGAAGGATATTTGGACAGGGAGCCAATGTTTGCCAAACCACCTGCACAACGAGGTCTGAGAAAATGACCTACACTTGATTCAAGGGACAACAGTTATGGTCTAGGAATTATGTTGGTTGGCTTTAACTGAGAGGCACTGTTAGTAAAAACCATGGTCAGCTACTTAGAGCAGAGGATTGAGCAATTTAGTCTTGCTTCACTATCAACAAATCCAATTATTTATTACAGTGACTCTTGTCAGGAATTAACTTATCGTGGCTTCCACTGGACTGTGAGCAATGTGCACATGATGAACAGGGTGTGGCACCTTTCCTAACCCTTGCAGTGAGAACTTTGGGTCTTAACACAGATTGTCAACATGTGAGTTTCATTTGAAATAACTCATTTTTAAAAGAAAGCAAAAATTCTTTAAAATTAAAAACTCCGTCCAAATATTTTGGGGGAGTCAAGGGTTTTGTAATGCCAGTCCTTGTTGCAGTAAATTAATACACAAACATATTACATGGAAGAGGAACCAATTAAGAACATATAAAGGCCTACAAATTTAAACAAACAAAAGGCCTGTCTAGGAATGGCATGTATAAATTGCAGGTATTAATCCCACTTAAGATATAAAAAGAACTCAAACAGGTCAAAGCTCCACTTAAACTAAGACATGCCATTGAAACCTGTTGGAATAACAAAAACAATACTGAATATGGGAAGAACAAGGAGAGGTTCTGAGAGAAATGCACAGCAGATGAAAGCATGTGAGAGAACCAGGAGGACACCATTTCACAGGCTGGGGGAGTTCAAAGCAAATCAAGAGTCAGAAGTTGGACTGGGGACAGTTTGGTTGTGAAGGAAAAAGTCAGGGTGAGATTCTGGATGAAACAGCAGGAATTCACCTCTTCTTGGTGCCTTGTTTCTCGTGAAACCCCCTCAGAATTTAATCAAATATAATGCATCTCTGCTGCATGATTCAACCCCAAAACCGATCTCCAGTCATAGCATGGAGATTTTCAGATTCCAAAGAAAGCCAGACTAACAGCCCCCTCTAGAATTCAAACCACTTGAATTGTTCTAGCACCATTTTGCTTTAATTTATACTCTTTCCTTGGTTTTACAAAATTTGCTCATTATAAATGTATAATAAAAAACAGAACTGTTAAAAACTGTTAAATTTCAATTATTAAGTCCATGTGGCTTCACACAATGATTTTCATCCGGGACTGTCAAAAGTTCTGTGGGACAAAGAAGAACTTTTCATTTTGAGAAAAGGAAACAGTTTATAAGTTAAACTGCATCACCTTTCCTTTAGCACTTCCAGACACTGGTGTCACTTAAATCCAATGGATCTAAGTCAAAAGCCACCAGCACCAATGGAAATCCTCCTCCTGACTTCACTTGCTTCTAGATCAGCCCCAGTGACTGACAGATACCACAACAAAGTCCCTCACAGTAACAGTACAGGGAATATTTGTAGCCATCTCTTGAAGAGATAATGTGGCTCTGATAAGACAGATAGAATTAGCATTGGAGGAAGGATTCCATATCCTTAGTTCAAAATTTAACAGCAGGGTCTGAAATTTTGTATGAATGTCAGTAATCCAGAAAGGTTTTTGATGTGCCTGTAAGTGGTACAATTTCTATGACTCAAAAAAGATCACCCATTCCCCACTGCTGCCCTTCCAGCCGGGTCTGCCACACGCTGCCCACCAGGCTCTGGGGCATTCAATTCCTACGAGAGGTTCCCTAAAAGGATAAAGGAATTCACAAAAAGCTCTTCCCATAGATAATTATTCAAGACCTGCATTATCTTAGCCTCTCACTTGTTTAGTTTGTATGCAGCTGCAGCAAGTCGGTTGTCAGGGGCTCAGACTCTGGCAAACAATCCTCTTCAAGTCCAGTTTTTGTCCATTAGGCTCATAATGAGCAACAACTCCAAACTCCTGCCAGCTGCACTGCCAAGGGATGCCCTCCTGGACCAAGGGCAAAGGGCAAAGTGTGACTTTGCTGGTTGGCAGCAGCATCCCACTGGTTGGAGTGTGGAGCTGGCAACTGCTTGACTCTGATCCTCCTTTTATTTCTAAAAGCAAGCCTTAATATCTTTTTTCCTGCCATAATGACCTTCCATCACTCCTTTGCACGGGGCTGCTCCTGGAATTCTCTCCAAAGCCATGTCATTTATGAACTATAAAGCAATCTACGAGTTCCTCATGCCCATGACCATCTGAGAACAGCACTGGACATGGTGCTGGAACACCCACCCCATCCCCATCCCCATCCCCATCCCCATCCCCATTCCCATTCCCAGGCTGGGCCTGCCTTCACCAGACCAGAAAAACAGGATGTTTTATTCTTCAGGTAATTACATGGAACAGGAAGAAACAGACTTATTTCCCTGGATGCTAATGTGATGCCAGTTGGAAAGGAATATCCCAAAGCACATTAGACCTGGTAGGATTCATCTTCCATACATGTCTGTGACTAGTCAGGACACCAAGACACTGTCCCTCTCTAAATGAGGGTTTTTAAATAAATGCATTTTGTCTAAAAACATACTGAACAATTAAACTGAGTAGGCTGCTCTAGAGCTGATTTGAAAGGCTCAAACTTTTCCCAACCGTTTCAAGTCTGAGAAAATCCACCAGCTCTCCATTTGTGATTCAAGCACTTGGTAAACACACTCCACAACTGCACCATGGCTGTGAGCCAACGAAATGGTGAGTCAGCAGGCAGGGGAGGGAATCAAGTGTCAAGAATGCATTTAACCCTCACTCAGAGAACACTTTTCTTACCAGCAGAACAAAAACAGGCCATAAAATGCAAAAAAATTACTGGAAGTTTTTTCCTCCGTTAATGAAGGCAACCATTGCAATTTTCTTCCAACTTTACAGGAGCTCTCAGGTTTTAAATTAGGACAAATGCTAAAGAAAACAGCAAACTGATGAGAAAGAGGTTCATGAACACATATCTGTGCAGTCCTATGATCCCTACTCTGACAAAAATCCCAGTGATAATCCCAGGAAGGCTGAGTGCTGAAGGGTTTCATGAGAGCATTAGAATCAATAATACTAAATACTCACATGGATATAAAAAGGAGTACATTTTCCTAATGAAAATACAGTTCAACTCATGTGTCCTATTCCCAAAGGAGTATCTGTGCATGGTTCTGTGCTTCACAGTGTTCTTTGTGGAGCGTTTGATGAAATCACGAGATTTCCTAAATCATTTTTAAATTAATCCCTCTTAAGAAACTCCCCACTGAAGCATCACTTTGCATGCTCACTCTAGATACTCTATTCAGGGAGGCAAAAAAAAACCATAAAAAGATTGAGGATTAAAAAAAAAAAAATTAAAGGAATATTTGAAAGAGGGCCCATTCTTCCATCTGAAGGTTTGAACACTCATTTACAAGGTTGTTAAACACTGCCAAACCAGAATGACAGCATTTTATACCTACCTTCTTACTCTTCACAGGTGTAAATAACCACATTGGACACCTGTGGAGGAGGGGAAAGGAGCAGGAGGAAAAAGACTCCAGTTTTTACCTTCAGAGTGTTAGTTGAGGGTCATCACAGATGAGCTGCAAATTTCCAGCTCACCCCCATTAGGGAACAGATCCCATTTCCAGTGGAAGGCTGAGGACAGGCAGCTCAGCCTAGGAACACCCACACAAAGGAAGAGTTTTTTCACAACTCTTGCCCCACTGAGCTCCATGGCCTGAGCCACCTTCTCCAGGAACTCGACCCAACAGCCAGGACCATCCATTTCAAGCTGGACTGTCCTGCCCTGGTTAAACCTGGGCTGTGAAACGGCACAGAGCAGGATTGGTTTGTACACACATCTAACATGTCCAGGCTGGGAATGCTCACAGCAAGGTTCCCTGCACACATCTTGGGAAGTTCTTTCTCCCATCTAAAAACCCTCACAAAGCCTGCGCCTGCAGTTTAGACAAAACCCTCACCTGTGGCATTGAGAGACAAGCCCTGCCAAGCAAGGCCTGCTGGAGTGGTTGGAAGGACTTTCCCCCAGCCTTCAGCCCTGCCTTTCTCCCAGCTGTTGGCAGCTGGGGCAGGGGCTGCACGTTGGACACACACAGGTGAACCAAAGGAGACACATTTGAGCTGACTTTGAGCTCAAAGGGCTGACAAAAATATAGGACATTGAAAGATGGCAACGTCCCACCGAGGAACACAGCAGCAAAAAGGAGATTATCTCTTCAAACACCACCTTCCCTCCACCATGATTTATGGACTGGAAACACAGTCTGACCAAAGAATAACGAGATGGGAAACTCGTGTCACTCACTGTGAAGGATTCTGTCACTCATGGAGAGAACCAAGTCCTGCTGAGCTTCAGTTCTGAAAGCAAATTCCCCATGTATTCTGCTCAATCCCTCCATCTGAGACTCCTAAAGAAAGAGGAATGGGAAGACTGTCAGCTTGCAGCTTATGGAGGAAAATCACAACACATCTTTCCTGTCTGCAGAAAGTTCTAAATGATCTTCCATCCTTATCACAGCACTAATTCCCAGAAACCCTGCAGAACTCTCCAGAGCACTGTTTTATGTACCCAGCACTCCTCCATCAAAAACTGGCTTTAAAAAATAAACTAATAAATTCTAGTTACAAATAGACATTTCTTTGTCCATTCTCGTGCTCCCAAACCCAAACACCTCTTTGGTTTTCTGTGTGGACATCCCTGGGAAATGTGAGATCCACAGGTCATTCCAGTTTACATGCTTTGAACCTACTGAACCCATCAGGAGAGTAAGAGACCAAACAAAATGACACATGCAGTGGCACCACAAGACTAATACAATTGCTGGTTAAGTAGCAGAAAAATCTGAACACTTTACAGCTTAGTGGTTTGTTGTATGAAGGCTCTTCACCTAAGAATGTGAGTTATTGTGGAGAATTTTATTTATATAGTCTGTTCAATTTTTATGCAGAAAGCATTAGCAGAGACTGTTTTAAATAATTTCAGATACTCAGCACTAAATAAGTGGCTCACTTTCAAGAACCAACCAAGAAAAAACATTCCACAGAATGTCATCTATTCCTTTAGAAGGGGAGTTGTATTTCATCAGCATGGATGCTTAAGTGGAATAAGGCTCAGTATGGGGACTGTTTTCAGCAATAGTTGTTAATTAAGTAGTAAAGTACTAATAAAATGTTTAGGCAGGTTGCATTTAAATAAGACTATAATGATATGTAATTACTCAAAAAGAGTGCCAAAACCATTCTGCAATAGACTGTGTTCAGTTTTCATGCCCTGCCCAAATCCATTTGAAAACAGAAAGGATTCCAATGTCCACTGTACAGTGGCCAGGGCACAGGCAAGCTGGGAAACTTCTGCTCTCAGCCACAGAGGAGGACCTTTATTTAAAAGCAAACTCTTAAGTTTCTCTAACAGAAGCTACAGAAATTAAAAGAAAATATTCTTAACACACACAGGAACAAATAAACACAGAGCAGCAGCAGGGCCAGGAGCTCTTCTGCACGGTCCTCACGAAAACCCACCAGGAAAACAAGGAAGAGGCTGTGAGGAAGCACAATCCTCCCTGAACTCCCCACGGGGCCACAGCAGGAACCTGGCCCAGCAGGACACCCCAGAGGGGGAGGCATTCAGTTCTGAAGGAAACTTGGGGCAAAAGGTACCAAAATGCTCTGCTGCAGAGAGGTGTGGGGAGAGAGGTGCAATTCTCTGTTCTGGGTCAGCAGAAAAAGTGCAGGAGGCAAAAGGGACTTGGCACAGCCAGGAAAACTTTCAACCAAAGGAAGATGCAAATATTTAAAACTGAGAAATGTGTCAGTGGAGATAAAGGCTCAGCAGAAAAAATAAAGATGAAATGCACAAAACTGCCATCATAGTAGAAATTAAATAAAAGTACTGGGGAGAGAAGTGTTTCTATCTTAGATATAATTTATATTATTATCTCTAGAAAATAAAAACCAGCACCACCAAGTACAGAGAAATTTTGATTTTCTAAAGGCTCCTTTTACTGATGACAGTAGCTCTTCACCTGTGGTATAAAGCAGCAAGTAGCTGACAGTCTAGTAAGTCCCAAAGTTGCTTGCAGAATCTTTATATTCTTTATAAATCTTTCTATTCCTCAATAATAGCCATTGGTGTCTTTTAGACTAATTAACAACAGGCTGCTGCAAACATGGTCCTGTTTCTTTTTAAATCAAATCAAGAGTAACATTCCTGTGATTACTATGATGACAAATAGTTTATAAATACACATCATAATCCTGAAAATTTTAATTTTACTGTATGTTAAGCTAAAGCCTGGCAGGCCCTTCCAACTTAAACCACTTGATGATTTGCAAACTAACACGGTGCATCTCTGCCCCACTAAACCCATTTCCTGAGGGCACAATTCCACTTGTTTTTCAGGTGACCTGTGGAATGGTGTTGTGGCAGCAACGGGGCTCCTTCCACGGCAAAGAAAACCAGGCATCTCCTCGTGGGATTTTTTCAACCTTTGCATCAATGGGAATCAGGTGCCAAATTTACAAAGCTGCTTTGAGAACCTGCCTTTTGTGCCTTCCCTGGCAACCTTTTTGGTGTCCTGGCCAAGCCTTTGTTCACCTGGAATTGTGCCAGAAGGCCCCTTTAAAATACCAAATTCCCTGGGTTTGGGAGCACTGCCTGACTCCACAGTGCCCATTGAGCCTGTGCTCAGTAATGCAGCTTTCAGTCACATTCTTAACATGTCCACGGGTTTAAAACCATTCTTTATTGAAAACAAACCTTCCTATCACCTTGCAAAAAACAGAGGTAGGATTTGCAGGAACTTGGATTATTTTTGCCTACGTATGACTTGCAGATGATCTACAAAAACACTAAACCACAGGCTTGGGTTTCAAATTAAAGCAGCTGACCACAGGTTACACACATGAAAATAACTATCTTTTTAAAACAGGAGAAAGGTCCTGTTCATTTGACAAGAATGGGACATTATTTTAGAGATTCCAGTCTTACAACTAGAAAAATAGGTCATCTTCAACTGATATAAAAAGATTTATAACCAACCAAGAACAAAAATCCAAACCCACAGGCTTGGAGTGAGGTTCTCACCCTGTAAGTCAATTAATGTTCTAAAATATCCTCATTTCTACTCTGCAAGACCTCACAATTTTCACTGTGGAAAACCTGTGCTTTGAGCACTAAGGAAGATGACATTTATATTATGGGAGTTAGATATGCAGTGGGTTAATGTTCTACTTTGTGAGCACATTACCAAGAAAGAACCTTCCCTTGGCACAAAAGGCACTCTTTTTCCTTTGCATTCAGAAAGCTGATTTCCCCATGTAACTGAGTCATCAAGGAGACTGAGCAGCACCAGCCAAGAAATAAAGATTATGGCATCTGCTGCTGCTCCATTCTGCCCTTGCTTTGGCTCAAACCCTTTGTACTCAGGCACCACACTCCCTCCAGGATTCCTCCTGTCCAACGTGCACAGAGGTTTGGTCTCCAGATGTGATGATCCACAAGGTGGATCCACTCGCTGTGGGTCACACAAACCTTAAGGTTCAGGCATTGCAATGCCAGACAATACAAGATCTGAATTAACAACGTGCAGAATTAGAGCACAGATTCAGGCCATCATTTGATATTAATATATCAAATATTGGTGTTATTTGATTTGCTATATTTGTTGCCAGACAGGCCCCTAGAATCCAGTTGTTCATTTTCTGCAGAATTCTCTGTTATATTTTTAGGAGAATGATGTCTTCCTTTATTTCATGTGGAATTATATAGCCAGTGCTTAGCTACAGAGCAGGATGTTACATGCTGTCAGCTTAGAGCAGTGTCAGTTAAATTCAAGGAACCTTCCCAGACTGATTAGTAAATAACACTAAGTCATGTAATTAAAACAAAACCAAAACAGTAGGAGCACTGTGATACTGCATTGTCACTATAATCTGACAGAGGTTTGGGATATTTATAGCCACAGTCAGAGGTCAGACATGCTGCTTGTTTGTGTAAAATACAGCCAAGCAAAAAGGAAAACTTCTCCCACTGAAGAACTCCTAAAACTGAGCAGAGAGTTGGAAAATTCACCCGTTCCAGTGTGGCAGCAAAGTGACCAGTAACCCCAAATCCTTTTCCCTTTTTCTTTCCCAGTCTTGGGTGTTGGTGCTAAGGGACTTGGCACTGTTAGATCACGTGTTAAAGTTGGACTCCATGGTCTTAAAGGTCTTTTCCAGCCTAAATGATCCTATGGTTCTATTACAACAGAGATAAGATCCTAAACCCAGATTTGTCCCCGCTGCCAAGATGCTGTGGTAACACAGACAAAGACAGTTCCTGCCCAAGAAGGAGGAAAACTCCCCATCAGAAATGCAGCTATAAATACAGATACATGGAAATTTAATATTGGGCTTGCTGTACTAAAATCAATAAGAGGTTTTTCACCAACTGGAATGGAAATAGGATCAAGCCCAGAGATGGGAGATGTGCCAGCTTTGCTCAGCAGTCTCTGCCCGGGCCTTGCACAGTGTCATTTATTACAATCAGCACATCAGAGGGAGGTCTTTAGGATCAATACAAGGCAGAAAGAGATGCAGTAAGTTTGTATGAGATGTAAAAATGGCTTTTGAAGCTGGGGATCAAGAGACAATGAGACAAAAGACAAGCAGGAAGGAGCACAGGTTGGCAGCTGATACAAATCATTACAAGTCCAAGAGAACTGTGAAACATCTCCCTGAAAACAGGGCTTAGAAACCAACAGGGTAAAGCACAAGGAATGAAGAGGTTGAAAATGGGGTTTTACTCCAAGAAAAGAGGATGGCTGAGTGCTTTTTTATATATATATAAAGGTAATTAGGAGAAATAAAATGTTTCTCTCAAAACTGAGACTTGGAATTACTCAATGGATTTGTTGTCAGTGAAAGGCTTTTGGTGAGAGAGCTTTTAGTGATGTGAAGGGAAGTAGGAACCAGCCTGAACACGAGGGACAGGGTAATGGACTGATTAATTTACATAGTATTTTGAAGCCTGTAAACAACAATTGTTAAAATAAGCCCAGAAATTTAGAAATACTGAGCATTGAGTGTTCTCAGAGTGCACAGTGACATCAGTAGGCACAGGAGCCATTTGTGGCTATCACATGATTGATTTTCACGTTCATTTTTACGAACAGCATTTGATTTAAAAAATATAAAGATACTTCCACTGTGACCGACAGCAAGACAAATGAATTAGGGGCTGCAAGCCAAAGAGCCTATTTTATCTCAAGAGAAGGGCTGCTTACTCATCTCTAGTCAACAGCCCCTTTTAAACACACCGAAAGTAATTTTAAAACCCCCAAGGAATGATGGAATTTAAATGATTTGTGAGGGTGGAAGACTGAGAGGTTTTGCTACATGACCAGTTATTTACCAGAAAAATATCAGATGC